TTCAGAGGACCTTTTTTTTATTTTTTATTTTTAGTCATTTTTAGGCTCTGGCCCATAAAAAAGCCTTTAAAAACAAAAATAGCCCCGGGCCCCAAGGAGTCTCAATCACTCCTTGCTATGACTTGATAAGGGTTTTGACTGTTGTAGGGAACTCATAGAAGACTGAGTTTTGTCTTATCATCGAGAACCTTGGGGTATTGCGAAAAGTATACATGTAAACATAATGATTCTCACAAAACAAATATTTTAAATGTTATTGATGGTTTTTTTCTTTTTATTATACTATGTATGGTGTTAGTGTTGCGGTTTATAATAATAATATTAGCTTTATTGTTTAATTTAAAAAAATTCATTTTCATTTTTGATTGATTGCTGATTGTTTGAATGTGAGCGTAAATATTAGTTTATCATTAGAACTAAAACATTTCTAAGTAATTATCTGTATTGAGAAAATGATTTTTTAGTTTTAACTTTAAAGAAGTTATATTGTCAGCAAGAGAAATTGAGGTATAATTCGGAATTAATTTGTTAAATAAATAAGGGCCGCAATAAACAATAGAAAATTGAGATTTTTTTTGTCTTTTCAGGTGGAAATAATCCTAATTTGTATTTTAGCATGAACAATATATTAGCATAGATATTAATTTGGTAAATGTTTAGAGCTTTCATTTCTTTTAATAGGGGTTTAGCATGGGTCAGTTTGTTCTTATGATGTAAAATTCTAGAAGCATATTTTTGTCGTCAATATAGGGGTATTAACTTTATCTTGTGTGTGCTTTCCTTAGCAATGTTGGCATATGTGAGATAACTATGTATGAAAGAAAAGTAAAGAAGTTTTAGGTTTTTTGTGATAAAAATGATCTAGATTTAAAAAGTATACCAATACTTTTAGGTATTTTAGCGTTGATGGCATTTATATGGACTGCCCATGAAACATTTTCATCAATAATCACACCAAGAAATTTAATTGCTTGGGTTCTTTCAATTATTTTGTGTTCGATACTTAGTGAGGGTAAAATTGATGGTAGTTTATTATTCTGTTTCTGTTTAGTGAAATAAAATATATTTAAATTTTTGTGCGTTTAATGATAACATCTTAGCACTGAACCATGTTTTAAGTTTTTGAAGCTCAATGTTGACTTTATCAAAAAGATCATTGATAGAGGTAGACGAGTAAAACAGATTGGTATTATCTGCAAACATTATACAATCGAGATTTGTAGAGGCTTTAGGGAGATTGTTAATGTAGATAAGAAATAATAAAGGTGCAAGAATAGATCCCTAGGGACATCATATTTTATTTTTAAAACTTTGTATTAGTGATACCGTCTATTATAACACATTGTTGTCTGTTATTTAAATAATTAGTGAACGATTTAATAGTTTGGTTTTTTATACCGTCCTTTCTCATTTTGTCGAGCAGAATTTTATGGTTGACAGTATCGAAAGCTTATGTAAGATCAATTAAAACTCCTAACACAATTTTTTTTTTTATCAAAAGATGATCTAATGTTGTCCATTAGGTTTAAGGTTGCATGCTCCGTAGAATGATTTGTTTAAAAGCCGTATTGACATTCACTTAGAATTTTATTGGCTGTTAAATATTTATAAAGTCTGTTGTACATTATTCTTTCCAGGAGTTTGGAAAACACTGGAAAAATTAAGATAGGTATAATTGGTTAGTAAAGCCGTATCTCCAGTTTTAAATATAGGTAAAATCATCGCAATTTTTAATTTGTTTAGAACAACTCCAGTTGATGTCTTGACAATGATGACAATTCTAATTGACAATTGGTGACAATTCTAATTGATGACTTGATAACCTTTTAAAGAGGATCTATTAAAATGTATAAAATGTTTTTTCTAATTGATTTTGTTGCTTCTTTAAATTCCTCAGATTTTAGGTCACTCTCAGAGAATGAACTAGAATGATCTGTAAAATATTTATTAAATGAGTTGTTCGAGTTGTTTATTTTGGATGCCAGTTTAGGACCAATATTTACAAAAAAATTATTAAATTTGTCGGAGATTTTTTTTATCTGTATACTCCAATCCATCTTTCTCAATTCTGGAGGGTAATATTTTGGGCTTAATTTTGGTAAAAATGAATTCATAATAGTATGTGATGAATCTGTTTTTGCAGCTTCTTTTTTTTTTTTTTTGACTTGTTTTTTTATTATTGTTGATGGAACTTTAGACGTGTCTCAAACGGAACAAATCACTTTCGTTCTTTGATTTGTACGCCTAGGATCTGACAACCAATCGATAGTTAAACAGCATTTTCTGAAGGTAGAAGCTATAATAACAGGGTAAAATATCCTGTGTATACAAAGTAGTGCAGGCCATCATTGTCAAGAAAAATCTTCAAGCTTTGTTCATACCTCGTGGTGCGCATAGTCTTAACCTAGCTGGCAATTATTCTACAGATCCTCCAAGAAATATTTCGGCAACATTGAATCGTTTTATAATTTTTTTAGTAGTAGCCCCATTCACTGGAAAATTTTAACTGAGACAACTGGACAGTCCTTTCACCAAACGTCCCAAACAAGATGGAAAGTGCGCAGGCTGTACAGCCATTATCGAAACGACCAAAAGAAATACTGAAGTCCTTGAAACTTCTTGAAGAACTTGATTCAGAAGATCATTAACTGACTTTAGTTAAGGCACTAAAAAAGTGAATTCAATCATTTGAATTGTCATTGTCTTGACTTCTTTCTAGTTCAAGTCTCCCATATGTGTCAACAATGTCTGCCTCCATCTTCAATCAAAAAGCATTTCTTTGGATGACAAGACAAATTTTTTAAAAACTCTAATCGATTATATTGACCGACTACGTTCTTCTTGACCACAAATCCTCCAAGAAGCAAAATTGGTTGCATCTGGGTTAGCTTCGTTTGGGTTTTAAAATGATTTTGTTAAGAAGAAGACAAGGAAAAAGAAAACACTTCACGGAGAGTCGATGAAGATAGCCCTCTTCCACGAAGACGAATCTAAATATCAATTGAAAACGACCTTGCCAAGACTTTATCAAACAAAATTTTATTTCTGATTTTGTCAAGAAGAAAACCTGCAAAGTGAAATTAGTGTGACCTGACTATACTACATAATTAACATTTTATTGATGAAAAATAAAACTCCATATGAAAATGTTTATTAAAATACAAAAGAAACTGCAATATAGGGGAGAGTTGCCTTGATTGGAATACTTACGAAATAAAAATTCATTTATAAGACAGCTTAACTATGAAAACATTTATGATTTGATTAAAAAAAAAAACAGACAACCCTACTATACTTTTTACCATAATTTGACTCAAGTGATTGCACTGTTATTGGAAATAAATTTTTATTTTTTCTATTTTGTTCCAAACAAGGCAACTGGTTTCCTAAATTGGAACACTTTGATTCCTTAATCATAACAGGTTGTTTCTTTTAAAAAAGCCCAGTATAATCAACAAAATTGATTAAAAATAATTTTTATATTTACGGTGAAAATTTAAACATTCTTATAAAATTTATAATATATAGATTGTTTAAAGCAATTATATAGATGGAATATAGATTGTTTTGAAGCAAAAACATCAAAAATCTTGCTGTGGTCTCCAAGCAATCTTTCAAAATCAATTTAAAATGTAATATGTTTATCAAGATTTTATGCTATATAATTAAATATAATATTACTGCGGTTTATAAATTCTGAATCTTTAATTTCCGTACCTGTGAAATCTTAAGTTCTTGAATGGTATTTTTAAGTAAACACTTTACTCAGTGCTGGAATTATTTTAACAATTAGAAAATAGAATATTCTGTTTTTACAATCAGCATATAATTTTTTTTTCCTCCTATAAGCGTATGCATTTTATTTTAGATGATTAATACTTATACGAACGAATCTTTTAAAATAAAAAATATATTGAAAAATGCAACATTCAAAAAATCAAAATGTCCCATATACTCTGAAAAATGAGATAACCCATATATATAAAAACAAAATAAACCATAATAAATGTTTATCCAGATATTCAAATTTTGATTTCGCAAACGTTCCATTTTTAAAAACTCGTAGACAATTTAATAGCACAAGATGCTTGACTTTTTTAACTGTTATGTATTTTTTTTTTTAAATATGCAAATAAAAGGATCCGATGCACAAGATGATGAAACAGGTCTAAATTTTTTTTAAGATTGTATTTGTAAAACTTTCATGAAACTTTCTAATAATCTAAATGGGAACCTTTTGTGGCTCTACAGAAAGCGTGCCAAATGAAAGAATAAATAATTTAGTGAATTCAAGCCATGAATAAAAATTTTATGAAGTGTTTCGGTCATAGCATACGACAGGTGCAAGTCTGCATAGAGCGAAGCCAAATGTACTAAATTGATGAGTAAGTATGATAATATGACATCATAATAAGATGACATTGTGGCTAAAATCGTATAAAAATTTTTCATCAAATCACTGTTAGAAATTCAATGATGCGAATGCTTTCAAAATATATAATTTATTTTTAGTCACTTTTACAAGATGACAGTACCGGTATAAAGAATAGTTAAATTCTCTGTAAACAAAGCAAAGGGCGTGCACAAGAAGCTATAGCTATTGGTCAACTTAGTTATAATAATACCTTCAGTTCAATTATATCGAACCTCCAGTTCAATTATAACTGTATTTTGAAACTATAGATTCCTTCAAACGCACGTAACAAAATGACTTACAATTTCAAAATTAACTCGTTATGACAGGAAAAAAATTTGCTATATGAAGTTTTAACACATATTAAGTGTCTGTTGCATTAATGCTTACACTATACCTTAAATTATGTAAAATAATATTAAGATATATAAACTATAATTAAATTATATAAATATAAATTATTGAAGTAAATATTTGTAGCATATTTAGATAAAAAGTGTTTTTTTTTTCAAAACCTTTGATCCTTTAAAAAATAAGTTTTAAATTCAAACAAAATGAGGAAATGAATTTAGAGATTAACAAAAAAAAAAAAAAAAATACATTATTAAATAAATTTTAATACATAACAATAAGAAAATTATTAAATTGCAGGTATATTACTTGGAGTAGCACCAAGTGTTATATCTGTTGTTAATGGAACTGGTTTAGCAATAATTGTTGCGCTACTAATTTGTGAGATTTCCATTGGGAGAATATGTGGGTGAGCTGCAGGACTTCGTGATACATCATTAGGGTTATGCACTGCATAAGTGTTAGTTGTAATGGTATTTAGATTTGTAATTGGTTGATTTAATCCTACATTACTAGCTATTAGTGTTGCTGGTTGATAATTTGAAGCAGTCGTTGAAAGAATGTTAGAGAGAGGCACCTGTTGTGAAGTTGAAAAAACATTTGGCGTTGCATAATGCGGATGAGACATCGGAGACTGAGTCTCAGTAAGTGCTGCAGAATATCCATTTAATACTCCTGATGATAAATTTGGCGTCATAATAGATGTGGTTTTCGGAATAGAACTACTAAAGTTTATGCCGCCTAATGACTCTTGCACCCCTGATGTGTTAATGGGAAGTGGAGAAATGTGTAACGGCACCTTGAAGAAAAAAAAAAAAAAATTAAGAATAAATTTATTTTTAGGTGATTAACTAAAATTAAAATTAGTGACACCTTAAAATCTTTTTATCTTTAAAACAGAAATCAAAAGATTTAGTTAATAGCATAAATTATTAGCAGTCACAGCATTTTAAATTAAGTTTTGCAACTGAAAATATATTTAAAAAAAACTATGTATAAAAATTATATATTCTTCTTACCTCCGAAAAACCAGTTGCACTAACTGTTGTCGGAGCAATGAACGGTGGGTGCAATGATTTAGTAACATCAGGAATAGGAATACGATGTAAATACCCATATCCAATTCCACATCCAATACTATAGAGACAGTTAAGAGCTTAAAGTAACCAAATTTTTTCTCTTTAGATATATTCACATACAAATTAAATAAATTAAACTTAAACATTTCTTTAAAATATTAAAGTAGCTAATAGATGCATCAGAAACCGTTTTAATATTTAAAAGATTGCGTTTTAATGGTCGAATGTTACGAGTTTTTTTGTAGAACAAATTACAATAGGTTTTATAAATTACCAATTAAAAAAGCATAAAAAAATTTGTTTAGTTTCTGGATTAAACTATAGATTTTACGTATACTGTTAGTTATATATAACTCTCTAGAGAGTTATATATAACTCTCCTTAGGAATAGATTTTATTACCTATCAACCATAAATTAGAGTGAGTAATTTGTGACATAAATTACGCCAAAAACAGGAGCTTAAAGAACCATAGGATTTTACTGATATTATTAAATTAAAAAAGCTTACAAGTCTGTAATAAATTCTAGGTTACAATTAAAAAAAAGGAGTTTCGTCACATAATTAATTGTTGCATAATTTGAATTTTATTACTTTTAAATATTTAGAGTACAAAGATTTAGTCTAATGGGTAGTAAAAATAAAAACATACCTTCCTTCGCCTCCCCACTTTGAATTAGGCGTTATTGTAACCTTTATGATAAATATAATATTTTAATAGTTTCTAGTTATCTTCTTATATTGATAAATTTGAATATTTTAATTGTTACCTCACGGCAACCATCTGTTTCTGAATTGTAAATATAAAGTTTAAGGGCCTTATTTTCATGTTGCTCCACAAGACTGAAAAAATCGTCTACCTAAAGTAGAGGATATATTAAGACAAACATGAACTCATTAGAATATCAAAGAAAAATTAGGGAAAACTCTTACATCATGTAATACAGTATCAGAACCAATTATATAATCTGTGTGTGGTCTTAGACCAGCAAGGTCAGCAGGAGAGTTTGGGTGGACGTCCTATAACAAAATAAAACTAAATTCTTTCATATCTTATTATCAACAAGCTGTTATTTTGCTATTTATTTCAACAAAATTTAAAAATATGCATAAAAAATACATGTTTTAAAAAACAAAAGCATAAGTTACCAGTATGTGCCAAACATTTTCAGCAGCACCCTCAAATGAACAAAATCTAATACTAACACCTAAACAAAAAATAAGAATTGTTATAGTAAATATTTTTTTCGTTAGAGTCTATGTATGTATGTATGTATGTATGTATGTATGTATGTATGTATGTATGTATGTATGTATGCATGTATGCATCAACCCTCGGAATATGGACCTAACTGCCGACCTAGAAGAGTTTGGGGTCAACAAAAAATCACCGACTTCATTTCTATGTTTTATGGTCAAACATAAAATTTTTCATTTTTTCTGTCGACCTCACACAGATTAAGGTCGATAAATTATTGCCGACCTTATTTTTCCTAACTCTTTTCCTTATAAATGTATGTATGTGTGTATGTATGCATGTATATATGTATGTAATATTTGTAATGAAATGATGTAAATATTAGTTTCAGTCTATCAGCATCAATTGGTAAAAGTATCACTAATAAAACATTATTAAAACATTATGATTACCTAATAATCCTTGACCACCCCAAAGATTACTTGGAGTAATACTTGCATCTATAAAAAAAATATTATACCGTTACCATGTATATATGACATAATGAAAAATGATAAAAAACTGTGTATCATGAATTTTTTAAGTTACTTTAAAAAAAAACTATAAATTTTTTTTTTAAGATTATGTAATAAATTTTACATTAATGGGAAATTATAATTTAAAAAAATATAACTTTAAAAAAATTAAAAAAAAAATTAATTATAAATCAAAATGATTGATTCAAATAATCTTTTGAAAATAGTTTATTTTTAAAGCCATTTATGTTTCATTTCAGCTTCATGACACTCAAGAATAAAGATAATACTTATTGTATTGAAAAAATATATTGACCTTATTATACAAAATCAATACATACATTCAGTACATGTATTAGACTCATTAAAAATGAAGTAAACTGCAAATGGTAAACTCTCTTAATTAAAAAGCGAAAATAAACCTCGAACTTTTCTTGTTTTGCTGCTGTATACAAGAATCTTTACTGGCTTCTCGACATTTCGTTTAAGGGCTTCCTTCAATGTTTCATTATCTTGGTCCTGCAAACAAAGATGATAAAACATAAAACATTTTTTATTTCAATCAAATTTGGATAAAAAAATGTTTATTGAATATACTAATATATATGGGTCATTCCATCTTAAATCACCTAAAGGCTCCTAGAGTACCACCTCAGAATCGTTTCAAATTTGACTATCTACAGATTTTATGAAAAAATCCTGAAATATTCATCTTCATTTATCAAATTGTTTAAGAGTTACAATTGAATTAATATCAATCAAAAGCAAGAAAAAAATTAAGCATCTGGAGCTTGCAGTAGACTTTTTCGTTTTTTGACAGACCATAACTTTGTAAAAAAAAAAAAAAAGGTGATCACCTGGAGTTATGTGTAGTAATAGACTTTCACCTAAATAATTTTTCAAAGTACTTTTTAAATGTTTTTGACTGATTTTAAACAAATTTTGAGTTATTGTACCTTAAATTTGCCAAATTACACAATATTAGGAAAAATTTCAAAAACTTTTATGTACTAGAGTTCAATAGTTATAGACAGGCAATGATAATTTTCTGTGGCTTTGTATTCTTAAACTTGTGATAAAACTTAAAATTATGGATTAAAAGTTAATTTAACACTTGCAGCAGCCTAATAAAAAAAATACAATAACTTACATTCACATTGCATAGACAAAAGTGTAAAGAGTTGAATAAAATTATGAAACATTTTACTGCGGAGGTTTTATATACAGACAATAATCGAGAAAAAAAATGGAAAACCTTTTTTCTATCTTTTGACATATTTTTAACTTTTTAGAGATGTTTTTTTAGTTTAAAAAAAAAAAAACTAAAAAATAGTACTTAAGTAAAACAATCAGCTGAAAGAAGCGTATATACACAAACACTAAATTTGTTTATCTCCGATTTACATAAATCATAATACTAATAATTAGCAAGATTGTAGTTATAAGCACTTCTACCATTAATGGATTAAGCAATTAAGCAACACTGACTTAATCTTGCATTATCACTATATATTATAACTGAACTTACTAGTAGTATGAATGCTCATTTGTGCGTGTTTGCACGAAAACCACAGCAGCCATTGAATCCGAGATAATAGCGAGAAAGAGTCTCTCAACACTTTTTTATATGATAATTTAAATAAAAGTCTATGTAAATATTCAACTCATGTAAATTTAAGGATATGGAAAAGTAAAGTTTTTTAAAGGTTTAGAGTTTTACTTCTCCAGTTTTCTACAAATAAGTTTAGCTTCCTTAAAGAAAAGGGGTATGTAATATGTATATATATTTAGAATACAATAAACTATAAAATTCTTTTGTTTTGCATTTTAAATAACAAAAAAAAAAAAGCAAGCTGATGATTCGAACTTGCCATGCGGCAAGTTCGAATCATCAGCTTTTTTAAAACCAGTAAGGGAGTTTTAAAAAGTGTGTTTTATTAGGAAAATAATTAAAAATTCTAACTTTATATTTAAAACAAATTATTTTATTAAATTTATTTTATTTAAAAATAAAAAAAAAAAAATGTTAAAAATTACTAAATATAAAAGTTATAAAAAAAACTTAGAGTTTACAACTATTTTACCCCAGCCCCCCTTGTTAAACATTCTAAAACGAGTGCGCAAAAATTATATAATTAAGAAAACCATCAAAATAGTATTATACTCCGCAGAGTATTAGAAGAGTGAACTCAGACACGGTTAACTTATAATGCATGAGGCATTGTAGATGTGCATGCAGTAAGTATTTGAATTTGTTATTTAACTTTTAAAAATCTCTGAAATATCTTTGAATCTCTCTATTATCATCTATCTATAATAGAAAATAATTGTTGAATATAATTTTATTTACAAACAGTATGTATATTTTAAATCTGTTTTTAAAGTTACTGAAGTTTAATTTTTTAATGTTTTAGTTAATGAAACATGTTCTGTTTTGTAGGTATTGAAATCTTGACAAGATTTTAATTTTATAGAAGCTAAAGATGATCTTATTTTAGATTTAAGTAAGTTGTTTTTTATTTTTTATTGTTTTTGTTTTAGTTAGATATTCAATAATGTTTTATATAAATCTAATTATTTAGAACAGTGTTACTGCCTGGTGGTGATATTCAGGATTGATTTTATAAAGTTTAATTTTGTATTAATTTTAATGTAATGAAGTTATACATTTACCTATGGGCTGTTTAAATAACTTGTGTTTGATTTTCTAAGTTGTTGTGAAGTTCCAGTTTGTATTTTTCTGCCATGGCCTATGACATGGGTTTTAAAGTGGAAGTTCACAATCGTCAATTTTTAAAAAACGGCCCTGATATATCTAGAATAGGCAATAAGATTTCCCTTCAATTAAAGAGAAGGGATTACCCTAACAGAAAGTGAGGTGGGAGGAGTAAGAGTGGGCAGTGGAAAATACTTAACTACATCTACAAATAAAAGAGGTATTTGAACATTTTTAGTTTGTATACTTTTATTGATCTGATTTTAAATTTTGTTTGTAAATAAACAAATTTGTTAAAAAATACCAATTTTTTTTTCTTATAATATTAATATAAATCAATATTAAGTTATGTTTATAAAAAAAATTTTTTAAAAAAGTTATAATTTTGTTTCTAGACTAAACACTATCAAAATTTAAGTCAGTAGAACATGCAAAATATTAAAATGATTTGAAAGTTTGTTTTACATTAATTATCTCGTGATAAGTCATTTTTCATGTTTAACTACAAATATTATGTATTACAGACATTTTAAATTTAGTTTTTATTTTATTTCTTTAGTTCTACTTTGTTGCTCTACCAACTATCATAAGTTTACTTGATCTATTGTAACTTAGTAAACTTTAATTATTTAAAATTTACTACGTTGATCATTAGCTAATAGTTTAAAAAAAATTAGTTTGTCACAATCAAGTTAAGAATAATTTTATTTTCTGGTCGAATTAAAAATTTTATTTGCACTGGGTAGCTTCTATGTTTTTGTTATTATGTGTAATAGCTTATTATCTTTGCAATAAATGTCTTTTCTTACAGACTTTGACTATTTTTAACAATGCTCTAGAAATAAAAAATAAAAATAAAATTTATTTTAGACATACCTTTAGACAATGGTTTTTCAGCATATTGCAGAACAAATAGAGGGCCCATATTTCATAAGGTACATAATTTTAGAGCAAAAGCCCACCCCCTCACGCCTTTTTTTTTGTATGAATCCCGTAGAAAGTAAAGTATGAGGAGAGAGAGTGGTGGGAAAATAAAACCGCTGCATCTATAATTAGTATTTTTGTAGTTGGCTTATTTACCAATTGTTAATTGATAATGCAAATTAGATTAATTTTTTTTTGTAAATATATATTTTTCTTTATATATTTTGTTTTGGTTATTATGTATAAATAAATTGATTTCCAGTTAATACCTGAGATGAATTTTTTCCTTTTTTTAATTTGATTACTTATTTTAGATTAATCAGATGATGTGTTTGTTTAATATAGACATACAATTGAAAACTATTGAAAATTGTTGTTTTATTAATTTGTTAATAAATGTGTAAATAAAAATCTTTAATTTTACAAAGCTATTAGACATTTTTTTGAAACCACAATCCATAATGATTCTGAACATGTGAACAAGACTATGCAAATATCTAATATGTAAACTTCAAGTTATGGAAATTATAAAAATTATATCAAATTTTATAGATTTACTCTTCCTTGAAAATTTCATTGGGGCAACAACTCTTTAATTTGGATTTATAGCATTTATATACCATTTTATAAAGTTTAATAAATAAATAATAAGTCTTTTGCTTATTAAATAGTGTTAAAAGATGATATTATAGCATTCCAAAGTGGTTGAAGTGCTTCGTGTGAGTTCAAATCCTTTTGTTTATGCACTTAATTTTTTTTTTTAATTTTTTCAACTTTTCTAGAATACAAAGTAAAAAATTTTAAAATGCCTTTAGATATTATATGCATAACATATATAAAAATATTATATACTATAACAAATGGAAGGGAGAGAATTTTTTGAAAAAAATATTTTAAAATTTCTAAAAACATTAAAACATTGATAGAAATTTGTTGCGCAGATGTAGGAAATGTCTGTGTGAAATAGATTTACAAAGACCCGTATTTTATGGGTAATAACAGCTAGTTCATAATTAATAAATCAATTTTAAATTTAATATGTTTCTATGCATGAATTTCAAATTATTATCTTGGTTTTTATTACAAATCTCAAAACCAAATCCTATGTACCATTGATTATCATAAAAGTATTAACAGTATTCGGTATTCTGCCGAATAGTTTGTAATATTTGGCCAAATACCAAATTTTTGCAATATTTGGCCAAATACGGAATACTGAAAAATGAAAATAATTGCATTAGAAATGGATTAAATTACTAAATATACTTATAATAATACAATAAACAGATTAATCAATTAATGAATATATTATAAGACTATATATATATATTTCAAATATTAAAATATTATTATATAAATATTTTTATTAGACCGTTATTTTATAAGATTATATATATAAGATTTTATTATTCACAAATTTTTTTATATTTAAAACTACTTTAATACTTAAAATTTATCAGTGGTAAATTATGATGAATAAAAATAATTTTTTAGGCATTTTTGTTGATAGCAAACAATTTCGCTTTTCCTTGTACACTACACCTTCCAAAAATAGCCATTCACTATATACACTATTACCTGGAGATGATAAGTAAATCTAAGCAAATTCTACTAGGCTCGGATATTGTTTTGCATTAACTGACCACCACTTGTAAGAGTCTGCTTTCCGATCTAGGCGAACAGTTTTCGTAAATAAATCAATTTCATTTTCTGTTGATTTTTTTTGTTCGACATCTTCATCTGTGTGTGAGTTTTCTGTAACAACTTCCTCAAAACAATTCCAGAAACTATTGTGTATCTCAATTGTTTTATCATTTTCATTGACATCTTTTTTCTTTGGAAATGGAAATGAGTCATCATCGGTGCTACTAAACAATTC